AATTTGTGGGCCGGGCTGTGGGACCCAACGCAGGCCTCTATACTAAAGTACTGAAGTTATGCTATAAAGTAGATGCTAGAGTTTAAGTAAACTCTACAAGAACATAGCAGTTTAATGATTAAGCCCTAGCTGCAAGTATTGGTTCTGCTATAGCAATATCTAGATTAGTTATAAAAATGAATACAAAAGGCTTTGGGGAGTTTATTTTGAGAATAAATTAGTTCTAAGACTAAAACAATAATTTAGACATTTGGATATAACCTTGTAAGTTAACACAGAGTACAGATTTAGAGAGTTTAAAGTGAAACATCTAAGCAGAGGTATTAAATATAGCAATTGATAAAGAACTTTTAGGCAGACTCCTTAAATAGATAATATAAAAAAGTTATATATGTAGCCAATTGTATGTTCTCCTGTAGTAATATATAGAATTACATTACCAAGAAGTTATTAATAAAAGTTAAAAGACCAAAAAGATCACCTTAATACTAAAAAAAAAATTTTAAGTAATTTTAATTTATTTATTTGTTTAAAAAATGTTTAAAAGTGTTCAAACCATGTTTATAACTGTTTTATAACAATACTTAGTAAGAGTATTATATACAAAAATTAGTAAAAAACTTTTGAATAGACTTTTTAAATAGATAATATAGAAAAGTTACATATATAGCCAATTGTACAGTAGGTAGCAAAAGTAATATTTAAATTTTTATTAAAATAATAAATTTTTATTTATTAAATTTCTGCCTTATATACATTAATTTTTTTTTATATTTATTTAATATTTGCATAAATGGCCCCCTTGTACTTGCTATTGCTTTAATTTTTTATAATACTGACTCTACAACAGTTCAAAAAACTGACATATTCAGATTTGATCATGCTTTTTTATAACTATTTTAAGCTCATTTGCATCTTTTGGAAAGTCCTTCTGATTTTGAATATTATATTTTACAATCTTCCAAATGTTCTCTATTGGGTTAAGATCAGAAATCATAATGGCCAATTTATATAATTAATTTTTTTTGATTTAACCATTCTGTTATCTTATATATAGAAGCATTATTATGCTAAAATATTAGATTTTATCTGTCTAATAAATTTATAATAGTAATAAATAGTACAAAATTGTTTCAAGAATTTTGATATAAATTTTTTGTTGATTTTTTGTTTGGAACTTTTGTAATCATCAAAAAAAACCATAAAATGTTTAATTTCATTAATAAAGCATGTTCACATCATTACTAACATTTTTCTACTTTTAAATTTTGGAACAAAACATTTATATTTATATCATTGATCTGCATAATGCTATACTTAAATCTAACAGAATTGTTTGTCTACTTCTACATTTATTTTATTTAAAAAAATAATATACTATCACTTATAAGAGTTCTTGTTCAAATTTTGTTCATATCAAATTTTGTGTCTATTTATATTATTGTTTGACAAAAAAGGTTTTATCACAGCAATGCAAAAATTAACTCCAAAGCTATGCAAAGTTTTAGCTATAGTCTTTTGACTGCATTGTAGTTTTAAAATTTTAATAATACTGCATATGAGTTTGTATTTCTCTTTTAATGCTTTTTTCAATATAATAGTTTTTTTTTTCTTTTTTTAGAACAGGAGAACATCCAGAGTAAGGTAAACTTTTTATATTTTTTGTCTTTTTGTACTTCTTTAAAAACTTTCAAACTATTGTTGGATCATGACCAATTTTATAGACAACTTGCTCTGTGCTTATATTTTTAAGATAAGCAAGTATTATACTCTTTTTTTATTAATCATTTGGATGTATAACATTTAATAAATTTTTTTTTTATTTTTAGTTTTGTTATTTTAATATCAAAAAAGCAAAAAAGCAAAAAAAAATTGACTCAAAATACTTAAGTTTGAAGCAAATTATGCACTTTTATTTGCTTATATATATTAATTTGCAGATTGGGCATCACTTTTGCCATCTACTATACATTTTTTTGGAGTAGTTTATAGAATCACATTACCAAAAAAGTTATTAATAAAAGTCAAAAGACCAAAGAGATTATCTTAATAAAAATATATATATATATTTTTTTTTAAATATTAAATATGAGTATTTGTGATCTAGGTTTTTATTGATAGTATGTTTCAGCTTTGTAATTGTATTATTACAATAGCTACAGAGAGCAATCATAAGAAGAGTGTACAACTAGCCACTTGTATAACTTTAGTCATTGTCTAATTTAAGTAGTTTACCTGAAGGTTCTATACTAGCTATCATATTTAGAACCTGCTTGTAAATTTTTTATTTAAACATACTAGTTCTTGTATTTACCCATTTATCTGCCTTACTAATTACTCCAGTTTTCACCAATGTACATTTACTATGATTACTAGGTCTTTAAAGCAATTCATTTATAAAGAACTTTTAACCTTGTACTAAACTCATTAAAGCCTTCTGTTATCCAATTTCTAGCTAACCCAGTATTGCTATAGCTGAGACCAACACTTGCAGTCAGAGTAATTCTTAAACTGCTACACTCTTGTAGAGTTTATACAATTCCAGTATCCTTCTTTACAACCTTACTAGTCTCTTGTATGTTCTTGCAAGTCCTTCTATATTATCAATCCAGTTAGTTCTGTATGATGTAACTTCATATCCAGTTTAACTAATAGTCAGATTGGTGAATTTCTTTATCTAGAGGTTTTGCTCATATAGGTTACCTGCCTCAGGTTTCTGTCTCTGAATCAAAATTTTCACAAGTGATACTACCAAAGATTATACTACTCTCTATTCAAGATTTTCAAACAGAGCTTCTTATAAAGTATATACTTTTTAGATTTATTTGTGTAATATTGCATACTTTCAAAGTTAGTCTTAGTACAACCAGAATTATAGAGTTACAATCTCAGATACCTCATACAAGTTGCTGAAATAAAACCATTTTTCAAATTTTCTACCACCAGTAGGATTAGAACTTTGAACCTATAGCTTAAAGAATAACAATCCAACTACTACACTAGAATCATTATTTTCTAAATAAAAAATATATATATAATATAAAAGATAAAAAAAAATAAATTTATAAGAAAATATTATTATAGTGCTATAGTGCTATGTTATTACTCTATAGTGCTATGATGTTATCTTATTTATTAAATAAAAATTAAGTTAAAATAAACATAGTACTATAATGCTACTTTTACATAATTCATTAAATACATAATCCTAATATTAGATAACATATTTTAATCAAATATATTCAAAATTTTTTCTTACAATTGATCTATCATTTACTTTATTGTTCTACACTAATCTATCATTCTATACTAATTTATTATTCTCCTATTCTACACTAATCTATCAATCTATTATTCTATACTATTATTTTATATCTAATTCTTGCCTTGTTACTTTTTGTACACCTAGTTTTTCATTATATTAATTAATTAGCCTTATTTATATTTGGTCTTTTGTCTTAATACTTGGTTTTCATTTTATTTATAACTAAATAATGAAAAAATATAAAGAATTTACTGTCAGTAATGATGCACTTTATAATTTTTCTGTTACTAATGATGCTTTATGTAAAAATATTCAGAATGTAAATAATATCCTATATAATAAGCAAAGTCAATTTGATGTTAGCAATATTTTATATATGAATAATCAAACTAAATATAAAAACAACGAAATAATGAATTGTGAAGATGCTTAACATAATATGATAAATTATAAAGGTGCTCAAAATGATATATTGAATTGTAAAGGTTCTCAAAATAATATGATGAATTGTGAAGATGTTTAATACAATAATATATAAATAATGTTAAATGATAAATAAAGGTACTCAAAATGAAGAATTGCAAGAAAATATAATATTCCATAACTGGGAACATGCAATAAAAGAAATTAAAAAGTATGAAGGTAAACAAAAGTTTATAACTTATTGTTATTATGTTAAAAAATCAAATAGTATAATCAGAAGATGCATATTAGTTTGTAAATACTATAGGTAGCATATAGAGAAAAAAATGACTTCTAAATATATTAGATGTATATGGCAAATAAAATTTTCTTTTTGAGAAAAAAATAATTCTTACAAGATTGTATATATCACAAAATTAATTGATGAGTATAAGAACTATAGTCTTGATCAAGCATATTACAAGTTCTAGAAAAATTTAGTGTTTATAATAGATATGACTAAGAAGGTTGAATTTTTTGTAACAAAAATAAATTATAGTTCTCAACAAATTCACAAAGCTCTTGAGAAAAAATATTCTGTAAAGATTTACATGCCAGTGTTATATTGAGTAATTCTAATGATTTCATCCAAAATCTTATAACTAGACAAATAATGCTAGTCATTTGTATAAAGAATTGTTTAAAAAAAAAGAAATAGACCTCTGATGATATGTTAAGATAGATTGGGACCATAACAGTAAATGTCTTTATCAGTATTTTACATGTTTTCTAATCAAATTAAATAGTAGTTAAAGTATAATAATGTAATTTTAAATAATAATATTGCAGCTACAAACTGTTATAAAATGGCACTGTTGCTTTTTTTGATAGTTAATAATAATTTATCTTTTCGATTGATAACTTAGGCATTAACAGATAATGAAACAAAAAAGGCACATAGTAGATGTTGCAACAAATTAAAAAGATGACATTTAAAGCTATTTCACATATCATTTTTATTGATACTGACTCTACTTTAACTGCTGCAATACATGATAAATTTCTAACAACAAATACTCTTTATTGCATGTTTTATATCACTCAAAATCTCTCTCTTAATCTAAAAAATAATCTTAAAGACTGTTATAATAAGTTTATTAAGGATTTTTTTGAAGTGCAGCAAAGCATTTTTATTGCAATATTTGAATACAAATAGAAATGTTCAATTGAAAAATATGACAATGAAAATATAATTAATTATTTACAATGTATGCTTTATATTAACAAAGAATCATAAGCAAAAGCATTTATACTTAAATTATTTATTACAAAAATGTTATTAACTTCTCAGATTGAGAGTTACAATTCTAAAATCAAAAGATTAATATTTAATTCAAATACAACACTATTAAAACTTGCTGAAAAATTATCACTATGCATTCTTGAAGAGAATAAGAAGACTGAATATGCTTTATTTCATGCATCAATTCTCAAAGCTGTTTTAGTCATAACTGCTAATACTATTCTTCCAAATGTTTGTAATATATTATGCAAATATCTTATAATAAAGAGATTAAAGATCTAGAAAGATCAAATAAAGCAAACACTTTAATATCATACTGTAATGGTATCAAAAATTGAACTGAGAAAATATCTTAAGGTAATTAAGAATATAATTGTTTTATAAGAGAAATCTGCTATATATGTGAAAAGAGGGCAATGTTAATGCAGTATGTAAATTAATGTATAAATGAATGAACTTCAAAAAGAAAATTTTAACAATAGTCATTGATCATTTTTTTGAATTCTACTAACCAATATATTTCTGTTATTAATGTTAAATATTTGTAAATTTAGATTAATCTTAATAATCTTATCTTATTTGACAAAAACCAAAGATTTACTAATATTATGATCAAATCAATGCTTAGCCTTGTTAATAATAGTAAGATTATGAAAATGTGGAAGTTTAATAAGTAATATTCAATAATATATGACACTTTGTAGTGTTTTTAGATAATACAACTCATTTATATTCTTGTTTTAATTACTGTAATTATAAAATCATTTATTGATATTTTTTTCAGGTAATGCTATCATCAGCAAAATTTATATAGAGAGATATATCGATTACTAACCACATAGATATATATCAATTATGATAATAATCGATATATATTTGGTTAATCTTTAAACAATAATGATCGATTATGAGTATAATTAATATATATCCTATTTTGGCAAATGATCACTTTCATTAATGATATATATTTCAAAAATATAATACTATAAAAATATAAGTGTACAAGTTATATAACTTTTAAAATAAACTATCAAATTTATTAAAAGCAATTTATTAAAAGCAATTTATTAAAAGCAATTTATTATATACATTTAATTTTTTACAATATTAATATTACATATATTAAAGATTAGCAATGCATAATGCAAAGACAAAAAATAAAAACACTGCTTTCAATAAAATGTGAACAATTCATTCAACTCTTCTTGTGAAAGTTGCATCGAATTGGATCATGATGCTTGCAATGTTTGCTCAGATTCAGAGTTATAACTTGGAGTGGTTAGTTGCAATTTTTTGTCATCTTTCTCTAAGTCATTGTCCATTAATGCTTTAGCAGATTCGTAGGAGAAGCCTCCTTCATTGAAATCATCCTACAATGCAAAACCCAATGCAAACTCATTAATATTGAATCAATATAAAGCAATATAAAGCAATATATAATTAAATACTTATCAAATACTTTGCCATATGGTGTTTCATACTATTTACTGTACATATGATTATATGCAATCATGGATTTAACAATATATCGCACACAGCTAACACAAATGCATAGTATTCATTTGATAAATCAGGTACTGCAATCATGAAAAAAGCAGTTCTTGCAATAACTACCACTCAATACACACCATCATCATTTTGCTGGAATAGGGAGTGAAAACAAGCAGCAACTTGATCACTCTGTTTTTACTTCATAATTTCTGTTGCAGCAGCATTGCTTTTTAGAAGGGAGAGCTTTTCATATCCAAAAACTTTCCAAATGGAATTTCAAATATTTTGTAGTGCTGCACCATAATAATTTTTTATTTTCTATAATAACTAGTAAATGAAATAAGACAAAAAAGTTAATTAACCTATTAAAAAAAATTAAATAGTTACAAGTGATAATGAACACAAAACAACAAATAAATAATAAATAAATAAAAACATATAAATTAATAATAACAAAAATGTTAATATTCAATGTATGGCACTACACCATTCATCATGAAAGTGATTTGTGAAATCATTTGCACTTATTTCGGACATGTAATCCAGATATACTTCATCTAAGTAGTCCTTCATGGCTTCCTTAAGTGTATTTTGTGAGGGATATATGTAGTGCGAAAAGAGACACTTTACTACATTTGTATACACATTCTAAATTTTAAGACATCAGCTTAGGTGTACCTTTAAAACTTATAATTAGACTAAAGCACTTACTTCCAACACTTGA